ATGTCAACAAACATGTTTCAATAGCACTCATATGAAAAACAACACAAAAAACAGCCGTCCTTGTTACCACACCCTCTCTAGCTCACAACTGAATTTCTTTGCTCTCTGTTTACAGAATCAAACTGATTGTCTTTAATTCCTGTTTCAACTTCATCCGCCCTCCGCCCTCCAACTTTCTCCCAGCCCTTTTCGGTTTGTGTTCTTTTGGACTGTGGGCAGAACATGCCGTCCTCCTTGACTCATTCAAGGAAGGTCCCTCTCTAAACAATACACCTATAAAACAGTTCACAAAAATGCAGAGAATAATCGAACAAATGCATGCCACCCCACATCCGTGTCTAATAAGTTTCAGCATCTCACCGTATTTACTATGTAGATATTCTAAAGAAAAAAACACAGTGGAATCCCCCATTTTTATGCTTCCCCATTCAAAGGTAACCACCAGTGAGCGCAAGTCCAGCTGCAAGAAGCTCCTGGAGTAGGTGAGAGCTGATGAGACTCAAAGCAGAAGTGGCCGGGTGGCCTCAGGAACCCGCTGTAACTGCCTGCTTTACATACACTAAGTGGTTCTGTTCTCTGAGCAGTCCTGTGCGGTAGCAACGGTATCACCGAGGAGGAACTGAAGCGCCTAGAGCCCCACAGCCAGTAGGTCACAGAGCCAGGGTTTGAAATGAGGCTTCAGGGTTCACACACGGCACCTCCATACCATCCTGCCTTAGGAGTACATTCAAGGAGTGTTGAGCTTTTCCTTTTCTTCAATGATCTCTACCACTGTATTTTTAAATACAGACTTTTAATTTCTCAATTTTTTAAAACACAGACTTTAATTTCTCATTTTAAGAACTTCTTTTTTCTTTTTCTCTGATCTCTGGGCGTCACTTTGGCCTGCTTGTCCTTCTGTCCTGCTCCATGAACCTGGAGTCATTGTCCTCTGTATAACATTTGAACCGCATGTTTGAGTTTTTGCTATTGCCTTTATCAAGAAAGTTTTAGGCTTGAAATATCATTCCACTATAAAGGTTTTGGAGCCCTGGTGGTGCAGTGGTTAAAAGTTTGGCTGCTAATCAAAAGGTTGGCAGTTTGAATCCACCAGCTGCTCCTTGGAAACCCTATGGGGCAACTCTACTCTCTCCTATAGGGTCGCTATGAGTCGGAATCGACTCGAGGGCATACAACAACGTAAAGGTTTTATAAATTGTTTTTCAAACATTCCACTAACTTAACGTGCTCTCTCAATGACTGTAAAGTTTTGTATCCTACAAAACAACTGTCTGACGAGGAATACCGTTTGTGTTTACTTCCTAGAAACCTTTCAGAATAACAGGATTCTCTTAAACGTCTAATTAGCCCAAGCCTGAAGCCTCTGTAATGCTTTCCAGTGAGCAGCTGGCTCCATATGAAGAGAGGCTAAGGGCTCTTCTTTGTCTTATTCATTTAAAATCATTTGCTTCTTATTTAATGTCCACAAAGAACACAGTCACATCATAGCAGAATTCGCTGTTGTAAATTCTGGATTGTTTCCCTGGCTTCTGCCTTACATCTGTGTGGAGTTTAAAGCCAATGCTTCCTTTCTTTGTGGGGGCCTTCAGGGCCTCTTGCCTCCGAATCCAATGTCATGCCGAATGACAGAAGATTGAAGTGGAATTTGTGTAACTATAGAGAAGGACTGCACAGAACAATACACTTTTTAAAGAACTCCTTGCCCAGAAACTGAAGGAGTTGTCTTGTGCAGGTGATTGAATCTCTCTGCGCATCCTGTGTTCCCTTCTGTGTTGAGGTCGGAAACTGTGTGCTCTGCTTCTGAAAACGAGGGGACCCAGCTAGTCTACTAAAGCCTGTGGTAAACCAGTAGGATGCTTCCGCCTCATCCAGAACAGCAAAGATGTGTTCTGTTTTTTAAAATAACTTTATATTAGACAAAATATAACAAAACAAAACAAAAAAAAACCAGGAAAATATGTTAACTTGTAATTATACACTGGTGCACTGTTTACATTATGGATTATTCATAACAAAATCTTTTTTTCTACCATCTGTGTGGTATCTTCTCTGTTTACAGGAAATGGTTTCTGTTGGCCTTCCTTGTATTTTCTGTTTCTATTTACTTCGCGTGACAGCCTTCAGAGGTTCTCGTGTTTTTAAAGCAAGACATTTATCTACCTTCCCATTTGCACTCAGAGATGCTGGAGGCTACACAGTGAAGAAGCAGTCATGGAGGGAGAAGCGTCTCTCCTCACTGGGTGCTGTGAAGGAAAGGCTAAGCCGTCTGTGTTTAGCTTGAAGCAGGGAGAAAGGGAGATTTGGGTGGGTAGACAGAAGAACACTGGGAAGTAATTAGTAGCTTTTACATTCTTCTTGAGACAGGTCTTCATCGTGTACATTATTTTACTTTTAAACCTAGTAAATTCTGGGACCGTGATGCACAAGCATATTCTAATGTGTGCCTAAGAATACCTTTCAATGCTATAAAAGTGGGCTTTCAATTAGCTGCCATGTTTATTGTCTACTATTGTACTACTTCTCAGGTAGTTTAGAATTAATTGCATAAAATTCACATATCAAGTACCAGTTCTTTGGGGTTTATTTTTAAGATAATCTGTTCTTTTACCTATAGCCGCATTTAGAAGTCACAACATGGAATGTATCACACGGGCGCGGACCTGTGTTTCATCTCATTTAGGATTATATCCTACGAAAGCTCCAAGGAAACATTTAATGGGGGGCATAGTTCTCTCTTTCTTTGGCCTCATAAAACCAGTCACAGTGATACCAGATATATCTTAATATCTTTCATTAATTATAATATATAAATTGCAATCTAAAACCACCCTTTGGAGTTAGAAATTCTACTCATTTACTACGTATTTTATTTAGAATGATACTTTCCACATAAAGATCCTGGGATATGGCAAACAGATCCGGAGCTATGCTAACAACACTTTTATAGACAAACCTCATATCCTCTTGCAGGTTTTATGTCTCAAGAGTCAATATGAGAGAGCAGAAAGATAGGGACTTTGGAATCAGGCAGCCTGGGTGTGAATCACAGCAGCACTTCTAACGAAACAGGTGACCTTTGATAAGTTAATTAATTACTCCAATCCTTAGATTTTTCACCTGTAAAATGTTTTTCATGGTAGTTGTGACTACTGAGTGGAATGGCACAGGCGAAGGCACCCTGCAGGGCCTGGACATAGTACACCGTCAACAAACGTTATTCTTCAGAGTAGAGGCCTCAATCTTCTGACTGTGTCTGTGTGAACAGAACCCCTCCACAAGCTTAAAACAAAGCAGTGTACTATGGAACAGAGATGGCTTTGTCTCAGAAATTGTGCTCAAAAAATACATTCTGTGTGTAAGTTAGTTTATCTTTTCTCACACGTAATGTTAACATTTGATAAATGGAGAAGACGTGCCCCACAAATATTTTCTACCAAGTCCATACTAAATCTTCTTTTGAGGAGTAATCCCTTCAAACTCCTTTCTTCAGCCGAGTTGAAAGTCTTCAGTCCGTCTGACTGCCGGCTAACGCATGTACTGATCGTAACACACCAGCAAGACCTTACGCGTGAGTCAGGAAGGATCCCCATTAACACCTGCATGGCAGTTTAAGGGGCAAAATTAAATAACGCTTGTGAAAATACCAGATAAACAAAGATTGATACAAATGTCTGGTAAATCCTGATTAAAACATGTAGAATGAATTTACTTTCTGATTTAAGGAACTGGCTTTTCCTCATAAACCAAAGTTATTAAGGCAGATCAAAGATGTCAATAGAAACTTTATGTATCTGTATATATATAGGCATATAAAGATCTTAAGGTTTCCTATTGAAAATATGTTCTTAAAACACCTCAGTAGATGTGACATAGACATTTTACAATCCCAGTGTTTTAAACTGTATTCTGCATAGAAAGCAGGTAGTCCATCTGTGCAAACTTGTTTTCTATGTTCCCATGTTCCCAAAGAGAGTGCCAGCAAAGGCTGTCATTGGGACTGGGGTTCAGATCGCCGTGTCCACACGCAGGCTGACGGCTGGACTTGGGTAATTCAAGCCGTTCCCTCTTCGTGCTTTAGTTTCTGTTCTGCACCCGCACAGACATTAGCCACGCTGCTTGAATCATCTGCCTCAAATGCTGCTTGAATGCCCCACGTTAAGGCTCTATGGGAGCCGATTTCTTGCTTATATTTCTTTGGCTTTGAAAGTCATTAAACTGCTTTTTAAATGCTGCCCAGAATTAACAGATTCCTTACCAGGAGCCTTGCAGTGGTTTGCCTGTTTGAGTTCCACCAGGAGGCCTCAGCAGGGCTTCTCAGTTCCAGGCCACAAGAGAGAGCTCAGGCAAGCGTTTCAGAAATTCAGAAGTGTGTAAAAAAAAAAAACCCAAAAAACGTTGCCGTTGAGTCGATTTTGACTCATAGTGACCCTATATGACAGAGTAGAACTGCCCCATAGGGTTTCCAAGGAGCACCTGCTGGATTCAAACTGTAGCACTTAACCACTGTACCACCAGGGTTTCCAGAAGTATGTAAGCTACACAGATTTCCTCTGAAAACATTAATAAACTTTTGCCTATTAGCTGTTTGAAAATTAGTGTGATGGTGGGGGTAGGAAGAAGCCCAAAATTGGGCCTGTCAGAACCTAGTAATTCTATGGGGTGTCAGCATGGGGAGCACTGAGCAGCGCAGGAGCCCCATATGGTCATCCAGGCAACATGTAATAAAAAATCAAATTATTCTTCAGGAGCTGAGTGACAACTCCAAAAGAATATGGTTTACTGCAGTTCGAACCCACCCGGAGGTATGGTGGAAGAAAGGTCTGGCGATCTGCTTCCCTTAAGATTACAGCCAAGAAAACCCAATGGAACTGTTCTACCCTTTACCACAGGGGGTCACCATGAGTCAGAACCGACTTGACAGCAACGGGTTTGGTTTTTGGTATGAAAATATCTGGGCACTTAAGGCTCACTAATCAGATGAATACATTGTGTCTTTTCAGACTTACAAGGTCAGGTAGAGGCGCTCGGGCTGAAACTTCAGAAAGCAGTGACCGAGAGGGACAACTACAAAGAAATGTGCACGTAAGACCGGGAACACTAACCAAGTGCAGGGTTCCAGCGCCCTGTAGGTGTGCCACGAAGTGGAGAATTTAGAAGGATCCCTGCGTATTCTCTGTGACTCTTTTGGCAGTGATTCAACTGTGGGGGTGCAGTCTGCTGCTACTTTTCTTGGCTACTTTGTGGAGCCCTGTAAATATTTTTAGATACACGGGTGTTTCTTTCCCTCAATTAGAAACTTACCCATCCGCGTGTTAAACCCTTTCCTGATTGTTCCAATGTAGTAACTTATTATGAAATATTCTCTGCACTTTGTCTTCTGTCTCTCTCTTTATTATCTACCCATGACAAACCACATACACAGTAAAGTTGTTTCTTAAAATGACCGTTTATAGGTTCAAAAAGAGAGCTAGCACCCTTGAAATGCTAGAGTACTTAACACTTTACGTAAGTGATAAAGAAAATTTTAGAACAAAATGGTAAGAAAATGCCCTTGTAAAATATCTATAGCACTATTTCTTTTAAAAATGAATTTTATTCCAGAAATTTCGGAAGTTACTTTATAGTATATCTATTGAGTCATAATCGACTCAACAGCAATGGATTTGGTTTAGTTATAGTACAGCTATAATTACAGTATTAAAATAGAATTTATATAATCTTTGACAAGAAATTTTTTTTTTTTAAACTTTGTGGTATATGATCTGGTAACTCTGGTTTTCAGTTCCTATATTTTAGAAGTTAGCCTCATAAGAAATACAAATATTTAGAATGCTTAGCAACCAAGAATTTGTGTTGACCATGAATTACTTCTAATAATAATGTGTTTAATAAAATCCTTAACAATACAAGAAAGAACAAACTCCAAAAATGCCTTATCAAATGAATGTATACTTTGATTGTTTGTAGCAAAGTAATTTGTTTTTGAAAATCAAGAAAAGCCAAATATATGTGCTTTGTGTTGTGTGGTTAATCATACAGTAAGTATAATAGTCCAGCTACCTGCGTATGATAGCTGAGGTTGAAGAAACGGGTGGGCAGAGGGGTCCTTGGGAGACCCAGTGGGCCCAGGAAGTAACTTCTGAGAGATGAGAACTATCTGGACATGTTGTTGTCAGGTGCTGTCGAGTCGGTCCTGACTCATAGCGACCCGAAGCACAACAGAAGGAACCACGGCCCGGTCCTGTGCCATCCTCACAACCGTTGTGCTTGAGCCCATTGTAGCCACTGTGTCAGTCCATCTCGTCGAGGGTCTTCCTCTTTTTCACTGACCCTCTACTCTACCAAGCCTGATGTCCTTCTCCAGGGACTAGTCCCTCCGGATGACGTGTCCAAAGTATGTGAGATGAAGTCCCGCCATCCACGCGTCTAAGGAGCACTCTGGCTGTACTTCTTCCAAGACAGACTTGTTCGTTCTTCTGGCCGTCCGCGGACATGAGAAATACGAAAAACAGGGAAACGAGAAACAAACTGGTAACTGCCAGAGTCATTGTTCCCCTCCTGGTAGTCACGTCAGGGAGGACTTTGTCCCTGTGGATGTCTCACGTGGGCAGGAGCCTAGCGAGGCACAGCTGCTGTGTGGCCTTGACTCCTTGGAGCTCCAGAGGTGCCAAGAGCCCAGGTGGGGCTGGGAGGTGGGGCTGGCCCCCGACTAAGCTAAGCAGGGGTTCCTGGACGTTCCAAGACGCGGCACATGGAGCACGGCCCGGGAAAACCAGGACAGCAGCTAAATGCAGAAATAGACATACTGGCGAAAAGGAACAAAGGTTATTGGTTGTGGCCGAATCAATTTAAAAAATATTTAATTTCTAATTTTGAATAGACTTTGTTTCTTAGAGCAGTTTTAGTTTTACAGAAAAATCGTGTAGAAAGTACAGAGAGTTCCCAAACCCTCGTCCGTCCTGCCTCCCCACACAGCTTCTCCTCTTGTTAATGTCTTGCAGTAGTGTGGGTCATTAGTTAGAATTGATGAGCCAATACCGATACGTTACTTTTAAGTCCTCAGTCTACATTTGGGTTCACTCTTCGTGTGATGCAGTCTGTGGGTTTCGACAAACGCATAGTATCATGTGTCCACCATTATAGAATCATGCAGAACAGTTTCACTGTCCCCCAAGTCCCCTGTGCTCCACCTACTCCCTCTGACCCCCCGGCAACTGCACATCTGTTGCTGTCTCTATGGCTGTACCTTTCCCAGACGTCATATCCGTAGTCGGAATCATACAGCGCGCACGGCCTTTGCTAACCGACTCCTCTCACTTCGTGGTAGGCATTGAAGTCTCCTCTGTGTCTTTTCCCGGGTCGGTGGCTCATCTCTCCTTATTGCTAAATGACACTGCGTTATATGGATATGCTAACGTAGAGTGACTACAGCATCGTACGGCTGTCCAGTTTTGGGCAATTAGGGATAAAGTCGCTATAAACATTCACGTGCAGGTTTTTGTGTGACCATAGTTTTCACCTCATTTGGATAATACCTAAGAGTTCGATAGCAGTTGGATCATATGGTAAGCCTGTATTTAGCTTTGTAAGAAACTGCCAGATTGTCTTCGCAAATGTACCATTCTGCATTCCCAGCAGCAGTGGATGAGAATTCCTGTTGCCCCACACCTCGACAGCATTTGGTGTTGTCAGTATTCTGGATTTTAGCCATTCTGAAAGGTGTGGTGCTATCTCACTGTTGTTTTAATGTGCGATTCCCTAACGACTTACGATGGTGAGCATCTTTTCATGTGCTTAGTTGCCATCCGTATATTTTCTTTGTTGAGATGTCTGTTCAGATCTTTTGCCCATTTTAAAAACTGGGTTCTTTGTTTTCTTATTGTTGAGCTTTAAGAGTTTACAGTTTGGCTGTAAGTCCTTTATCAGTATGTGGTTTGCAAATTTCTTCCCAGTCTGTGGCTTGTCTTTTCATTATCTTAACAGCGTCTTTCGCAGAGTGCAAGTTTTTCATGTTAATGAAGCTCAGTTTGTACATCTTTTCTTTCGTGGATCATGCTCTTGGGGTTGGACCTAAAGCGTTAGGGCCTCCTGTGTTACCTTCTCCAAATTTCTAGTTTTATGTTTTGCAGTTAGGTTTGTGATCCATTTGGGGTTAGTTTTTGTGAAAGGTGTACGGTCTGTGTCTAGATTCTTTATTATTATTATTACATGTGGATGTTGATCATCATTTGTTGAAAAACTACATTTTCTCCATTGAAGTATCTTTATCCTTTGTCAGAGGTCAGTCGACTGTATTTGCGTGGGCTACCTCTGTGCCCGCCATTCTATTGTACTGACCTATTTTCTCTTCTTTTGCCGGTACTGCACGGTGTTGATGGGTGGAGCTTTCCCTTCAGTCGTGAAGTCCGCTCTTCAGTAGTGCGCTGGCTCTCCTAGGGTTTGCCTTTCTATCGTTTCAGGTAATGCTAAGTTCTGCGAAGATGTAAACAGGCAGAGAGGAATGTGATAGTAGGGAGGGGCAGGATGCTTTTGACAGAGTGGTTGGAATGGCATCTCTGAGAAGATGACCTTGGAGTTAAGACCTGAGGAACAGACAGGAGCCAGCTGTGCTCAGATCTGAGGGCAGAGACAGCACGGCAAAGGCTGCAAAGTCTTGGGAATGAGCTTTGGCAAGTTCCAGAATCACGAAGAACACCAGCTGTGGTAGGCAGAACAACGGGGCCCCAAAGACGTCCACCTTCTAATCCCTGGAATCTGTGAATATGTTACTTAAATGGCAAAAGGAACTTTGCAGATGTGTTTAAATTAAGGATTGTTCGCTGGGGAGTTTATCCTGGATTACGTGGGTGAGCCCAGTATACTCACAAAGGGGCTTATAGGAGGGAAGCAAGAGGGTCAGGGTCAGGAAAGGAGAGGTGGGGTTGGAAGCAGAGGCTGGAGTGAGCACTTTGAAGACGGAGGAAGGGTCTTGAGTCAACGAATGCATGTGCCCTGTAAAAGCTGGAAAAGGAAGGAAGCAGATTCTCCCCCTGGAGCCTGCTGGAGGAGCCCAGCCCTGGTGACACCTCAATCTTAGGACTTCCGCGCTCCAGAACTGTAAGGTGGTAAATCTTCGCTGATCCAAAACACCAAGTTTGTGGTGATTCACTATATCAGCAATAAGAAGCTAATACGTCCGCATGCCCAGAGCCTAGTGAGGAGCTTAGAATTCTTTGGGGAGCATTGGAAAGCTGTTGGGGGATTGTAGGCAAGAGAGTCATGTGATTTGACTTCAATTTCAAAAGGCGCTGTGGCTGGGACTTAGCGAATGGACTGGAGTGAGAGTGAATGAGGAATCGGTGATCAAGAGGCTGTGGGAGCCCTGGTGATGTAGTGGTTAAGAGCTACAGCTGCTAACCAAAAAGGTCGGCGGTTCGAATCCACCAGTTGCTCCTTGGAAACCCTATGGGGCAGTTCTACTCTGTCCTATAGGGTCTCTATGAGTTGGAATTGACTTAAGTGGGTTTGGGTTTTATTTATTTATTTTTTGGTGTATGTGGATGTTAGAGGGCCAACTGACAGGACTTACCTCATGAAGTAGATGTGGCTGGGGAGGAAGGGGACTTGAAAGCAGAGAATAAAGGATGGGATTTGAGGCTTCAGTCTCAGCATAGACAGAGGCAGCAGAGTGTAGTAACTTAGAGCCTAGACTCTGGATCCAGACTAAAAAAATAAACAAAAAAAAACCCATTGCTGTCGAGTCAATTCTGACTCCTAGCGACTCTATAGGACAGAGTAGAGCTGCCCCATGGGGTTTCCAAGGAGCAGCTTGCGCCGCCGGGGCTGCTGGGATTCATATCCCGGCACTGCTACTTAGTAATCCTGTCATTTTGGGCAAGTTACTTGTCTCTTTGGCCTCAGTTTTCTCATCTGTAACATGGGAATAGGGCAGTTTTAAGAACTGCGTGAGCTACGTAAAGTGTTACCTATCCCTGACGTTTTCATGTCGATGCCATTCACTGAAGTGGGAAAATCTGTAAGATACAGACATGGGGGGGGTGAGAAATAAAACATGAGGCTTTTTCGCTCTGTTAGATTTGAGA